GGGCTGGATTCTAACCCGCCAGCTCAGGTGTACATCGCTGGCACCTTAGCTGCTTGAGGCACAGGTGCCGAACCAAAGGATTACATTTCTTTCTGTAGTTCTTAGGGATTTAAGTGTTCAATTGATTTATAAAAGTAGCCTCCATCAAATGTCAGTTTGTATGATTTCTTTGATTTGTTTATTTTTGAGATGGGCCTTGCACTGTTGCCCAGGCTGGAAGGCAATGGCACCATATAGTTCACTGCAGCCTCAGCTCCTGGGCTCCAGTGATCCTCCTACCTCAGCTTCCTGAGTAGCTAAGGCTAGGATTATAGGCACATGTGGTTATTTTTTTTAATTTTAATCTTTTTTTTTTTATTACTATGTTGCTCAGGCTTGTCTTGAACACCTAGCTTCAAGCAATCCTCCCACCTCAGCCTCCAAAGCACTAGGATTACATGTATGAGCCAAAATGCCCAGTCTCAGTTTGTTTTAATGTTTATCCTACAACTTCTGATGCACTGTGCTTCCAGAACTGAAAGTAAGCAGAGTAATTTTATATATGATATGGCATTTTGTCGTCATCTGCCTTCCTGGAGAGGCCCCCAGAATCAGAAAGGAGTCATGTGTTTAGCTCCTTGGTTCCATTCAGAGCTGTGTATGCTGAGCTCAGTGCCTGACATAAGGTCAGAGGCCTTCTGTAAGTAGTAGCCAAGGTAACAGTAAGACATGTAGAAACCCCAGTATTTAATGATGAACTTCTCCATATTTGAATAAGCATTTATATGCAGTCACAAATATGTATTAATTGATTTACAGGCTTTTAAGTGCATGAATCCATGCAAAAGATACTTTAGCAGTTCCCATCAGACTGAGAAATTCAGTGGTAAATATTGTCTCTTATTTTTCATATTCTCAGCACTTAATCAACATTGGTAGACTAAACAAGGGACTTGGCATTGAGAACGTGCTATAAATATCACATGGGAGACCTTTTGGTGAAAAAAGGCTCAATTCTTGCCCAGGGAAGGCTGTCAGCCTTTATCATTCTGTGCCACAAGGTGTCGCTTCAGAGCAAAGTTTTAAAAATGCCTGAACTTAGGAGACCTGGACGTTTGTTAATCATTGGATTGGTTCCTTTCTAGTATTAAAAATTGTTTTTTGTTTTTTGTTTTTTTAACCAGAAATACGAGTTTAAAAATGCAACATGGACACCAAACTACATTCTATAAAACTTGTGCCTTGGAGGCCACCCCAAACAAATTCAGAAGCTCCTCAATGCCAAAGGTCTTCAGTTTTCATGGAAATAAAGAATGTTATGTTTTTGTGAGAATGAGAGCATACTGCTTTCTGCCAGCTACCAGCACACGTGTAGATTTAGCATTCTTTTGAGACGAACTGTACTATGTTTGTGTTTGAGATGTTTTATGTGCATAGCTTTAACTCTTTTCTGAGAATGTCGAAAAGTGCTGGTTAAAAGAGTCATACGGTTACCATGAAAACAGAACTGAGCCAAGGCCATCACTTAGGACTTGCAGCCTTTCCTGACATAGCACTGGTTTCCCTGGCGAGCCATACCTTTGGTATGGGTAAAGTACTTGTATCGCCATTTCCAAGAAGGATTTTTTTTTTTCATATAGAATCTCTCTTTGTCACTCTCCATAGAGTGCTATGGTGTCACAGCTCACTGCAACCTCAAACTCTTGGGCTCAAGTAGTCCTCTTGCCTCAGCTTCCTGAGTAGCTGGGACCTGCCCCTGCACCGGGTTAATTTTTCTATTTTTAGTACAGATGGGGTCTTACTCTTGCTCTTACTCTTGCTCAAACTCCTGAGCTCAATCAATCCACCTGCCTCGGCCTCCCAGAATGCCAGGATTACAGGCATGAGCCACCATGCCCAGCCCCAAAGAAGGGTTGTATATGTCAAGACTATTTCCATGTCCAGGAAATCACCCACCTGGATGATGCTTATTAGTAGGTTTGCAAGTTCCATGTAATTCATTCAGGGCTGCCCAGGTTATGTATGCTGTGTTCTTGGATTTCTCTGTTGGTGCCTGTAACTATTATCTGTGCCGGCAGATGTACTGTTTTACAAAGGGTAGGACACGGTAAATCCAAACTCAAGGCCATGCTTTAGGCTGTTGCTGCAAATTTGCCATCAAGGAAAAAAAAGTCCCAGAAGGAGCAGAATAGGCAGCAAGCAAGGAAAGGTACTGGTTGTTGATCAGTGCCTAATTGAGACGAGCTAGCATCCTTTCTAAGTGGTTTCTTTGGTATAGACAGAACAAAAGGTACAGGCTTGAGGGCCCTTTGCCTCAAAGCTGAAAGAGAAAGATAGAGCGGTAGCTGCATTCTTTTCTTGATTTTTAAAAATCTTTTGCACTTGAAGTAATGTGACCCTCTAGAAAATATCCATCCAAACCTTTCAAATAAATGAGCACACCTAAATCTAAGTGCAATGAGAAGAACAAGATCCTGTCAAGTACCTCTCACACTTGAGCGTATTTCCTGTGCTTTTAATTTTATTCTTATTTTTTATTTCAAAGAGGCTGGGTATTGGCGCTTCTTTTTCCAAGTTCTTCAGAGTAGGAATGTGATCTTTAGTGAAGTTTCCGGTTCATAAAGGTTCTATTAGAGAATACCAGTTAAGGAGTCCATGAAGGTCATCGTTCGTATGTGGTCGTTTATTTGTCTAGCTCTTATTACTAGTTGAGTCCTTTCTGCATTTGCATCATCCTTTTCACTCTCGATCAGTATTTATCACCTCTTCTGTTTTTCTTTGTCCCTTTAATAAAAATAATCTAAGTTGATCTTTAAACCTGGGTCATTAATTTTCCTTAACACTTTATTATACCATA